CTCAGGAAGGGCTGGGTTTCTTTAAATAAGACTAGACAATGAATATGTGCTCCTGAAGCTGTGTAGTGCACCATGAATGCATTATTTACAGCAGCTTCTTCCTTGTCCATTTTAATTTTACATGGGTACTCGAGAAAGGAAAGGGACTCCTTGATGTCTCATGGCCACCCACTTGTTCCATGTGACAGAGGTGAATTTTTGAGCCACTAGAGGATTTGGTGTTGATCTTTCCATTACTTCAATCATGGGGAAAACAGCCATCCTAGAAATGGAGCCTGGCACCTAGGAGTGGAGGGAGCTACAGCCTGAAGTTTTGTCTGACTGATGCATCATCCAGTCTTGATAGTGCCACTTTCTGCCTTCTCCCCATGGATGAAATGCAGGGGGATGTTCTAAGGCTGCTGCAGCCTTTCCTGGTGCCCACACATGCTCAACACAGAATCTCTGCTCCCTGCACTGGTGGAGGACCAGAAAGCCTTTGGGAAGTGGACAGTGGCACATGATCCAAAGAGGGAGGGAGGAGGTGAATCTGCTCCATGGAACTGGTCCTCAGCTGACCCTGGCAGGGGAGAGCATGGAGCAGGTGGGAATAAAGAGCAGTACGGTGGGCTGTGGCTGAGCAGGGGGTAGGAGTGTTCCAAAGGACATAAAATTCCCCAGTGTCTCTTCTCCTGGCTGTTGCTGAGGCTCCTGGTGGCACAGGTGTCCCTGCACCGCGTGGCAGTGATACCACATCCATGGTAGTGCATCTTGGAGACTTTGTGGACCTGGGGAATGGGACAGTGACTTTTTCCCTATTTTCAACATTCTCCTCACTCGAAGTCTGTGCTTGGTGCACCTTGTGCAGGGATGTCGGGCTGCCAGGGGAAGCACAAAGTGGTTCCAGCACTCCAGAGGGGCTGCTGAGGTGGGATCAAAGTCTAGGAGCTGACGGACATGAGGCTGCATTCCCCAGCACTGCCAGGCCTGGGAGGGTTGAGATGGCAGCTTGACGGCTTGGAAAACAGGCTGAGATGAAGGAATATCAATAGGAGAGCGAGCTGTTCCTGCCGAACAGCCCCGGGGCAGCTAACGTGAAATGCTGGTTGTCTCGGAGGAGCTGACAGGTGTCTGCATCAGGCATCCTGCTAATTAAGCACCACCGTCATGAGTCACAGGGCTGAGGGATGAAGGAGCTGGGAAGGAGCTCAGCCGGAGCAGGTATGGCCAGAGGGGATCTCTGCAGGACCTCCCTGGCCAGCGGGGATGGGCTGGTGCATGCATAATTTGTGTGATTTCGGCGGGTGGATGCACAGCCGTCGGGACGGGCGGGTCTTTTGGGAGCTGGGGATCAGCTTTGAGAAGGGCAGAGCGAGCCATCCCACTGGCTGGCTGTCTTCCCCCATTGTGGCTGTGTGTCCTTCCCTGGCACTGATGTCCAGATCAATCTCCTGTCACAGACCAGAGCCTCTCCCACACCCACAGCTCCCAGCACCCATCCCATCAAACCTCTTCCCAAATCTAGGCATGCATCACTGCCAGTGTGACAGGTGAGGAAATGAGGATATTCCCAGACTCACCTCTCTGCTGATCCCCTTCAGGCAGATCCTCTTCTTCCTGAAATGAGCAGTGATGCTGCCAGCCCAGTGAGGCCTCTGCCAGCAAATTCCCAGGAACGTGAGCACGGTGGGCTGGACGAGGGGCCGCCTGCCTCTTTGTGGACACCCGTGATCTGGAGGGGGCCTGTAGCAGCAGGCAGAGGATGAAAGCTTCTGGCAGACAGCAAAGTGCCTTCCTTTCTGGGCAGAACCAGGAGTGAAAGAATGCTGCCCCCCTGGTGACAGCCCCTGTGCCTCCCCGTGTCCCTGCCCCGTGTGCCTCTCCAGCACCTTTTGCCCGCTGCCCTTCTGCCTCTGCAGCTGTGATCCCCTGAAAAATGGCTCTGTTCATTACTCATCCTAATTCCACCCTGGATCCCCAGAGGTCCACAGACACAGTTTGTTATCCTGGCTGTCAAGGAGCTTAAAGAGCTGCTGATGCCTCCTGGAAAACTTTGACAAACCCTCTGGTCAGACCCAGTGCTGCTCCCCAGCCTGGCTGCTCAGCCTTTCTGCTCCTGAGGCTGGATTAGCAAAGACGTCTGTGAGGGTGGGAGGAGGGAAAAAAACCCCATTGCTGCCATCTGGGCAGAGTGGATCCCTCCTGGTGCCCATGGCCATCGGGGGGATAGCCTGGGACCATCCAGGCAGAGCAGAGCTGCAGAGTTTGGCTGTGAAGGTCCCCAAAGCCCACATTTGGATTCCAGACTGTTCTCTGGGCCAGTCAGATTTCACAGCCTAAAAACCTTTGGGCTGAGGCCACTGGGTTTCTCTCATCCCTGTGTGTTCAGTTCAGGGCGTTTAAACTGGGGTTGCAGGTTCTTGGGATTTAATCTTCTGAAAATTTTTCCACCTGTGGGTGATAACCAAGGGAAGTGACATTGTCTTGACTCCTGCACTGTGTGAAACTCTGCCTTTTAGCAGAATTTTTTAGCAATCAAAAAACTGCAAACAGAAGAAAAACTGTGAATTTTTCTGATTATTTTTGGTCCCTCACCACTCAGACTGGGAGAGCAGAGTAGAAGAGCCTCCCCATCCCTTTGGGCTCTCTCCAGTGACTTAATCCTCTCCCAGTTAGTTTCTGGTTTTGACAAAGCAGCTGTCAGGCTGCTTTTGGAGAACAGGATGCCCCTCAGTCTCTCTGGTAACGTAGGCAAAGTGCCCCGGACATCCCAAGAAGAGTTTGTGTCTCGATGTAATTTTGGTGGAAGCTGGGTAAGCAGCGCCGAGTCAGCCTTTAGGGCAACGAGAGGAGCCGGGTGAGCCACTCACCCCTCACCCCTCACCCCTCTCTGCTGGGGTTTGGGTCCAGCTGCCTCGGAGCCATCCCCAGCCTCCAGCCGTCCCCCCCAGCACCCTGCGGAGCTTTTGAGGTGCCACTCAAGCTCTTCCTCGGGGCACAGCCGGGCTGGCAGCCCCGGCCCTGGCGGGAGGGGGTGAGGATGAGCAGGGGGGCTGTGGATGAGCACAGCAGCCCCTGGGAGGCAGGATGAAAGGCCAAGCTTCCCGAGATAACCAGAGGCTCTCAGCGGGGGTGAGGTGCCCAGACGTGGGGGAAGCCTTGTGAGTGACAAGCGTGTCCCAGTGCCCGCCGGGCGCGGTGGCCGATGAGCCGGGGGAGCAGCCGTGGCAGCTCTGCGGGTCACCGGGAGCCTGAGGCTGTTTCCCACCCGGCACAAACCCGCAATTCCCCTGCCAGCTCCCTCCTGACCCTTGCTGGGCACGGGCATGAGTGGTTCTTGGGTTTTCCTTCTGTTTTCTTTTCTTCCCTCCTTGGTGCATCAGGAGGGGCTCAGCCGGTACCCGCTCTTTTTTGAGCTCCATCACCGTGGTTCCCCTTGTCGCTGGGTGTATGTGGACAAACAAACCTCTCAGCAAAAAGAAATCGCTCCAGTTTCCTGTCCCAGGGGCACACGGGAATGGCAGCCCCGGCCCGGGGTCAGTGCTGCTGCGTCCCTCCCGCTCTGGGGATGGAGGGAGAATCCTTCCCTCTCTTTTGGCCTCTGTGGCAGGAGATGGCAGCCATGGGACCAAGGTGCCCTGGCACCAGCCCTGGGAGAGAGTGGATTTAAAAGCAGAAGTGGGAGATTGCCTGAATATCTCTCCCTTCTTTTTTATTCGTTTAAGAGGTTTTGCTGTCTCAGTAACTCCCCCGAGAGACAGGAGCAGCAGCATCTTTGGATGTGAATACCTGACAAGTTTTTAATGTGAAAGGTATTCACTAAATTTAGTCTCTTGGAGGAAGGGAAAAAAAGAAAAAAAAAAGAAGTGTTTCTTTCAGTCTGGGGGAAGTGATCCAAATCCCAGCCACTTCCTTGCCGGCAGAGCTTGCTGATGGCTGCTCTGTCTGGAAAGCTTTTAAGCCTGGGCCCCATGTGTGTCCCTGCACAAACAAGAGGTGGGAGAATGGCAGCCACTGGTGCTGTGCCCTGGGGAACGGGGCTGTTCTCAGCTCCTCTGGCCTCCTGGAAATGGATGCTGCTGAGGGTTGGATGAGGGATAAATGAGAAGAATACCTTGTTGTCCAGCTTGCAGGGACATCATCTCTGCTCTCATATGGGCTCTGGGTGAGGTGTGAGCATTGAGATGCTGAGGGTGCTGAGGAGAGCGCAGCTCTGCTGTTGGACTCAACCAAGTCACCCTTTTTCTCCTCCATTTTCCTCCCTACTCTCACTGGAGCCTCTGAAGGTCCATTTTCTTCTCTCTTCTGGTACTTGAGACTCACCTGTGCCTTGTGCTCTCCTTTCATGTCCTCTCCCAAAGTGCCCTGTGCTGCTCTCCACAGCTTTGGAATTGAGTTCCTCCTGTCAGAGAGGGCAAGGAGCTCCTTTGGGTTTGTGGACACACATCCCCTGGGGTCTTGCAGAGGACTTGTACATGTGTGCCTGCACAAGGTGAGCACACACCTTCCTTCACAGCTGGGGCAGCTCCCAGACTGCCACGGTGGGTAAAGGACAAAGCGTCCCTGTGCTGAGAGCTGGTGGGGCCAAAATCTGGCTGGTTGCAGCCAGGAAAACCTGGCTGAACAAGGCACCTTGCACCGATTGCCCCTGTCCTGCAGCAAATGGTGGGGTCCCAGTGAACCAAAACCATTTACAGCTCCGTCTCCTAATGGGGGGTCTGGAAAGATCCACTCCTGCCATTTCCGTCTCAAAGGTCTCTTCTGAAATCTGTGGAGGTCTGGATGACAAACACTCTATTTATTCCTGCTGGTTTTTACAGAGGTCCCTTCTCTGGAGAGATGATGGAGCATTTCATTAGAGCCTAACCAAACCGGGCAGGGGCAGGGTGCCACGGGGGCACTGCTGTCTCTGGGAAGGGACTCTGTGGCTGGCATGGTGAGAGGGAAAAGCAGAGGAAGGTTACAACAGTGGATAATATTGAGCGTGTTTAGAAAAGACAAACAACCACTCAGACCTGCAACTAATACATTTTAATGGTTTTTATAATTTTTCTTCTCTTTCGTAATTTTAATTTTCGGCGGATTGGATGTGATGCCAGCATGAATGGACATCCCTGGGGAAGGCAGCCCTGCGGTGGGGTGCAGGAGAGTGGCGGGGCGCTCCGGTGGGTGCGGGGGGCTCCGGTGGGTGCGGGGGGCTCCTCTCCCCGCAGCCCCTCCGCTCGGTGACCGCTTTTAGCGGGGCCCGCCCCTCGCGGCATCGCCCCTTTAAGGGCTGGCTGGGGGCGTGGCCTGGCGGGAAGCCCCGCCCCCTCCCCGCCTCGGGCGCCCCCTGCAGGCGGCCCCCGGGCGCGCCCCCGCCTCCGCGGGCTCTCGGCGCGCGCCGCCGGTGCGGGGCGTGCGCGCGTGCGCGCGGCGGGGGCGCGCGCGGCGGGCGGCGTTCCGTCGGGGCCCCGCGCCCCGTCCCATTCATGCGGGGCAGCGGCGGCGGCGGGAGCCGGGCGGGCGCGGAGCCCCGGGCGGCGGCGGCGGGGGGAGGCGGGCGCGGAGGAGGAGGAGGAGGAGGAGGGGACGGAGGAGAAGGAGGCAGCGGCGGCGGAGAAGGCGGCGGCGGCCCGGCGGGCGGCTTGGTGTGGAATGCAATTATGGCTGGCACGGCGGAGGCGAGCGGGGACCGGAGCCGTGAGTAACCCGGCTGCAACTTTCGGGCGCGGCGCGATGAGCCCGATCGGTCGGCTCGTTAAAAAGAATGCGGATTTGGCTTTATTGCTCCCCTAAAAAAAAATTTGGATTTATTGCCGCCGCGGAGACGGCGCGGGGCTGGCCCGGGCAGGGCACGGCGGCCCCGTCGGGGGGCGCGGAGGGGCCGCGGCGGCCGGGCCGGGCAGGGCTGGGCCGGGCAGGGCCGGCGCCGCGCTGCTGCCGGCGGGACCAGCCCGCATTGCGCCCCGCGGCTCCGGGAGCCGCCTCCCGCGGGGGCACGAAACCGCGCCGGGACCGAGCCTCTTTCTTTATCCGCCGCACGCCCCGCGTGGGTCTCGTGTGTGCCGGGGACCGGGCAGGGACGGGCTGAGGGCCGCCTCCCATCTCGGAGCCGCTCGGGCCGGGGCGCTCCCGCGGGGAGCCGGTGCCAGCGGAGCCTCCCTGCTCGGTGTAGCGGCGGGGCTTGGCCGCTTCCCTCCTCCCCTCCCTCCCCGCTGCACCCTCCCGCCCCGGCTCTCGGTGGCGTTCGCTGCCCCAGCCCCGCGGCCGCGCTGCCCACCCGGGTCCGGCACTGCTGGGGACGCGGACCGGGCTCAGCCCTTCCCGTGCTCGCCGCCTTGGATCCCGCATCTGCCCTGCCCTGCATGCCCGCTGCCGTGCCCGCATCGTGCTGCCCCACATCCTCGCTGTCATCGCTGTGTCCGCACTGCCCCGTATCCCCGCTGCCGTGCCCGCATTGTGCTATCCCATATCCATTCACGTATTCTCGCTGCTTTGCATCCCCGCATCCCGCCGGGGCGCGGTGAGCGCCATCCGGGCTGGGCTCGTCCTGAAGCCACAGCGCCGCCGTTCCCTCCGCGCTCCCCGTTCCCCAGCCGCCGGCGGGGAGGTGCCGTGGGCGCCCTGCGGGATGGGATGGGATAGGATGGGATGGGGCAGGGTGAGATGGCTGCCGTCACCCTGGTTATGATCGTTCCTATTGTGATCGCGCTGTAGTTTGGCAGCGCGGCGCTGGGCACCTCCGAGCGAGGCGTGGGAGGCTGCGGTACCTGTGCGCGGGGCTGCGCCGGTGCGCGCCTCCCGCCGCCGGTAGGAACGTGGAAGGCGGCGAATAAAGCCGGCTGCGCGCTCCGTGTCCCTGAGCCCCTTTCCATTCCTGCCCAGAGAACACACACGGCAGCTCCGGCGTGCGATCGGGGAGGGATTTGCAAAATCTCTGTGGCATGCTGAAATAAATCTCGGAATCCCGCAATCGCCTTCTCCTCCCTTGTCTTCCTGGGGGGAAAATTCTTCCTTCTGCCTCTGGCCGAGCGCCGGGGTAGGGGGAGCCAGGGGAGGGGGGCTGGTGTGTAAACAGGGCTTAACATGAAGGTCACTGGTTAAAGAGGAGACGGATGGGAGAGAAAAGACAGGCATTAACCTCACTTGTTAGCTCCCCCCTGGCTTCTGCTTGGGGAGGACAAAACAAAAGCAGAACCTGCTAACGGGGGGGATGAATATTCATGGATCCTTCTCGTACGCTCCGGGACACGGAGGGGAGAAAAGTTGGGCAGATGAGCCGCCTCCCGAAGCTGCTTTTCCTCCAGTTTGCGAGAAAATCCTTTTTTGCTGAGCGGGAGCTGTGTCGGGGGGAATTATCAGTCTTTTGCTGGATTTCTTTTTTAAATTTTTTATTTTTTATTTTCTTTCGTGTGCGGCTGCAAGAATTAAAAAAAAAAAAAAGGAAAAAAAAAAAAGAGGAGCTGAGGCTATTGACTACATCAAAGGTTATCCATTTGAAAACACCATTTTCCTCTGAACAGCGGCTAATTGCTTCCTGAACAATCCCAGGGTCTTTTGTATATACTCAGTGGGCAAAATGAGTGACTCGATGTCTCTCTCTTAAGACACTGATGACCGAACAGGGCGGAAAGGTGGAGAAGCCAAGCAAAAGCAGTGGGGCAGATGCCTCTGGGAGGATGCATGGATAATTTCTTAAGTGGCTGCAAGGAGGGAAGGTTTTTTTCTTCTTCCCGCTCGCCGCCGAGTGATCTGCTGGTGCCAGCGGATGCCGGTGCCGGCAGCGGTGTGGCGACACGGGGCTGTAAGGAAGGCTGGTAAGGAAGTTTGGATTCAAAATACCCGATCGTGCGTGTGATCTGGTGCTCCCCATCCGCCTGTGGCTTTGGCTGCCGGTGCCGCTCCTCCGAGAGAGACAAGCCTGGATGTGCCCGCTGCTCTCGGGGGGCTGCGGGGAGGCAGCGCCGGGGGCTCTGGCTCCTGCTCCGCTGGGTGGCTGCGCTTTCTGCAGCTGCTGCCCTGAAGATTAAAGTTTTGGCGGCGTTGCTTTTGTTAGCGTGGTGATAGCGGCGTCGGGGAGAGTTTTCCCTTCTTGGCTTATTTTTTTTTTTTTTTTAATAGAAGCATCAGATTTGGAGCAGAGCGCAGGCATTCGTGCCACGCTCGGGCTGTGCACGGAGCCCTTGTGCTCCGTCACACAAAGCGCTTTCCCCGAGCGAGAGATCATCAAACTCCTCTCAACTCCGCCGGAGATGGGGCCAGGGCCGTGCCGGCGGCTCCCGGGGAGATGTTTCAGCCGAAATGGGAAGGGCAATAAAGCGGCGCTGCTGCGTGCTGGCAGGGCTGTGCCTCCTCTCCTCCACGGCGGCGGCAGCGGGGCTGGCCCCTGCCCTGCTCCGTGCCCTGCTCCGTGCCCGGCTCCGTGCCCTGCTCCGTGCCCTGCTCCGTGCCCGGCTCCGTGCCCTGCTCCGTGCCCGGCTCCGTGCCCGGCTCCCTGCCCTGCTCCCTGCCCTGCTCCCTGCCCTGCTCCCTGCCCTGCTCCGTGCCCTGTGCCCTGCCCTGTGCCCGGCTCCGTGCCCGGCTCCGTGCCCTGCTCCCTGCCAGTGCCGCGCCGGGCCGGTTACTGCCGCGGCTTCGCTGTGTTTGACTTCTGCCGAACAAAGCGGAGCATCTGGCCCTGGGGTCGGGCTGAACGAAGGAAGCTCGGATGTGTTTATTCTCCAGGCTGAGTGCGGGTCAGGGCCTTTGTTGCTGCCTGCCTTGCCTTGCCCTGAGCTGGCAATTTCCGAGCGGCAGAGACCGGTGCTGCCGGCACCGACTGCTGCAAACCGGGGGAGCATTGCCCGTTTCCGGCTTCTGCCGAGTCCCGCTGGGCTTTGTTGTAATTGCCTTTCTGTTTAGGGTGTTCTGGTGCCTTGGTCATTTGTGTCTTCAATGAATCAGTCGTGGTTTTTGGCACCTCTGGCTTAATGGAAAGGGAGCCTCGAAAGAGCCAGGACAGCAGAGGTGCTGCCATGTCTCTGTGGAGTGACAGGAGGGTGGGCATGGGTGGCCCCAATGCCCATAATGCCATCCTCACTGCCTGCAAACTGGAATTTTTCATTGATCTGAACTGGTGGAATGCATGTATTGAGAGAACTTAGATTGTTGTTGTCTCTGATCCATGAATGTCTCCTTCAAGTTTGTGTGCTATGTGGAAAAAACTAGTGATTAGAGGGTTCCTGGCCAGGTTTTGACCAGTGAATGGCTTGCTGATGTACCATGTGTGTGGAGGAAGGCCCAAAGGCTGGGAATTATGAGTGATGTGGAGCTTGGTTCAGCATGTACCATGACTCCTTAACTTTCCTGAGTTTGGATTGGGCCCCTTTTCCCAGCAAGGTGCTGGGTGCCATGGCTTCATGCAAAATGAGGAGGAGCAAGTGTTTGCCACCATCCACTGGTGAGGTGACTGATTTGGCTTTAGGCTGGAGACAACCAGCTTCTTCTCTGGCTGTAGCTGGGAAGTGTTCCATGCAATACCCTGGGGAACATCCCGCTACAGATATGTGGTGCTTGGTGAGAACATTTGAGCTCTGACACTGTCCCTGACCCACAGCCTCATCCATGCCCCTCTCAGTCTTCCCCAGGGTGCCCCATGGAAGCTGCATAGATACCCCAACGTGGTCTGTCTGCTATGCTTGGAAGTCACATTTGAGCAAACATCTTGTGGAGGAGAAAAGGTGCAGACAATAAATAAGTTTTGATGGTTTCAGTGCCAGGCATGGGCCGTCCTGGCTCTTCTGCCCTGCACTCGGCATGTGGTGTAGCCGAGCCCACACCTTCCCATGGGTTTGTCAGAGCGTGGCCAGACACAGGAAGATGTCCTTGTTTGCCTTGCTTCCCTAAGCACCCTGCTGTTGCCTCCAGCCCTTGTTCCAGGTGGAAGCCACCATTTAAAAACCTGAATGAAAAACATTTCAAAGTTTATTTTCCCTTTAGCCAAGGCTTGGCACACCTTGTCTTTGTTGCTGGTGTGCCGAGATGTTTGAGTCTGGAAGAAAACTCCACATCCAGATCATCAGGCTCACACTCCACAAACACTTTTGCTCCTTTCTTCTCTGAAGTTGCCTTGCATGGTGCAAGATGGACTATTTTGGGTGATTCGTCTGTCCCCATGGTGTCTCAGTGTAATGAGAGCTAAATTCACCCCTGCCCTGTGCCAAGCTGTGCTGGTCTGTGCCTGGGGCCGGAGACCCTCGTGAGTTGCCTGAAGAACAGAGGAGATTTTTTATTCCTGGGGTCAACTCAGGGCCTGGTGTGAGCCAGGGTGCAATATCCTCTTTGCTCCTTGAGCTGAGATTGTGAGGGATTTTGCTAGAGAAAGTGCCCGAGGTGAGAAGATGCCAGGGGTGCCAGAGACAGGCTGCATGGCTCTGGGGGACATGCTGTGCAGGGACCATCTCTTCCACATCTCTCCTCCTCCCTGCCAGCAGCCTGCAGATCAGCCCTGGGGCTCGCTGCCCACCTCCTCATCCTGAGCATCCCGCAATCTGCCAGCCAAATTGGCACGGAGACCCGGGAGTGCTGGTAATCCAATTTGGGCAGTTTAGCTGCACTTTGCTCTCCGTGCTGCTGGCCGGAGCTCGGGAGCTTTAATCCAGCTAATGACCCCAGCTTGAGCAACCAGGACCGTTCTCTTGATTCAGTTTTCCCTTCTGTCGGCGATGGCGAAGGGCTGAGGCTGCTTCTGAGTCCTGTCGTGGTATCAGAGACAGTTTCCAGGTATAGGTATGTGTAGGGACTGGAGGATGAGGGCAGCATGAAGGGACACAGCAATCCTTGCTTTCTCTTAGTGAGATTTCTCCTTCCTTCGTCCCGTTTTTTTTTTCTTTTCTCCCTCTTTTTCTGGTAAAGATAAGCCCTTCTTCCGGAGTTATTTTGCAGCATAGTATTATTTTCAGGAAGGCAAAGCCAAGAAAAATAGAAGTGTCTCTCTTCCTTGGGTTGCCTACTGTTTAATGTACAAAATACAGGGGTGGTAATTGCATTAAAACATGTATAATTATACTGGAGGGAGGAAAAAAAATTCCTGCTAATTGCACATGTGTTTTGAACTGATAAATGTTGAGTGACTCTTCATGTTTTCTTGGGAGTTTGGAGGAGCAGAGATGCAGTCTGGCTTGTGAGGGGTTGGGAGTGGGGGTAGTTTCCCAAAATTATTGGGAAGCTTGGATGATCTGAGCCCCTCTGGGGTAGTGTCAGTTTTGGGGAGCCGATCCTTTGTGGATCCATTTCCCCATCCAGGCAAGTCTTGGTGTCATTGTAGGAGCCCTGTGGGTTCCTTTACTTTATGTGATTAGTTAAACAACTGTTTGTGTGTCAAAATATTCAGGCTCTCTCACAGAAGTAAATTCCTGGCAAGAGAAGACGCAAATTCCTGTACTAGGGGGAGAAATTTCCTGTGTATGCAGCCCCACGTCCACGGGCTGTTCCTCCACTTTTACCAGGGTGTTGGCATGAGCGGGTGCTGCTGGGGGGCAGGGAGGAGAAGGAGGGATGGTCACACTCCTTTCGAGTGGCACAATATGAAAACCACATTTCCTTCTGCGAATGCCGGCCCGTGGAGCTGCCGATAACATCGCAGGTAATTTCAATGGCAATAAGTTGTTTGCTTAGTGCATGCGGCCGGGCTTTGTGTACGGGCGTTGCTTCGCTCTTCCTGTGCAGACTGTTAGTTTCAACAGGGGAAGAGGAAAACCCAAAAATATTTTAGGAGGAGATTAAAAATAATCTCGGAGCTTGGCTGGTGGGCAGGATGTTTCGCAGGATCGTGTTCCCTGCTGGTCCGTGTCCAGCTTTGTGGCCCTCGGAAGGCTTTGCTGGATAGTGTTAAGTGGTGTATTGTCATTTTGGCCAGCCTGAGGTCTCGCTGTGGGGCTCTGGGAGCTGCAGTGCGCTGGGAGTCCGCCCTGGGATTTGACTTTTGCACTGGGTAGATCTGGCTGCCCTGGGGCAGAGCGGTGTCAGAGCCGGGGTGTGAGCCCCAGCTTCCAGCTGCCCTCTGTAAAACATTTGTATCTGTTCCCCAGCATCGCATTCCCTCCACCCCCATCTGCTTCTCCATGGTTTTTATTCCTACAAGTGTTGGCACGCTGGCAGGGTCCCTGCCTGCCCGCTGCTGCTTATCTCCGTGTCCGGCTCCTGGATGGCTGCTTCCTTTCTGGAGTCAGGG